ATTTCATTAATGATCACGTCTTGAATACAACACTTCCTTTAGCTGTATAAAAAAAACTATGACCAGTGGATTATTGGTAGCTATCACCTTTTCTCCTATTGCAGACATATCCCATATCTCGCCTGCGTTTGGAAGCAGTCGTTCTGTCATTTTGTTTATCTGCGTTGCCCAACAACAAATCCAAGCAGAAAACATACAGCCCTCTAAAACATCTGTCTGTTTACGACGTCATCAAGTTGCGAACAAATGTTCGCATCCCAAGAAATAACCTAATGACAGAATGATGTCTAATATTGAAAAAGACTGCGCCTGCCTTTTGCGATTTATAGCGTCCCTGTTTTTTATAATGAGTCGACAGCTTCAATGAAATCTCCATTCACAAATACTTTCATGTTTACAAATCTCTAGGGATGAGGCTAAAAAAGCAAATTTAGGCATAATACCTATGTCAAGACTTTGAAAGGTAATGTAATCAATACTTCTGTAAATAGGCAAACGGAGTATGCACATTCGAGTTGTCCAGTAAATAGATTATGGTCATGATTCCTACAATATCGTGATTGATCCATGGTCTTTATTGATATTTTGACATTTCGCTGAGCATCTAATTAATTGTTTTTGTCCCTAACAAGATTAATGTGGAACAATAGTGGCGACCCAAGAAGTTTATTTATACCTGTTTAACCTATTGTGGTCATATAATTGAGGATATAGTTGCCAGAGGATAGAGTTACGTGTGGCACTGATTCATACATCTATCGAACATGTATCAATTTCTAAGGAACTAGCTATAGATGGAGATGTCGTTTCCACATATCATATCATTTGTAAGAGTAGCCCCAGTTAATATCCATACTTTACAAGTACAAAAGAAATTGTTAAATGTCAAATGGTCGCGATACAGTACAGCCTCCATCCAAGATCATTTATTGATTCTAGAGACCCTTGATCAGCTAGACACGAATAAGCGTTAAGAAGCCTGATTACGGTAAGACATAGAAATTTACGCCTGATTTTATGCTTAAATACATGCTATATAAGAGTCTTAATCGGACGCCTCGGACAAAAGTTATTTAGTGAGTGTCAAAGATCGAGAATATGGTCATCACATACACTTTTCTTGGCCTGAAATAATTTCATAAGATGACATTTGAGGCCATACAGAAACCTGGTCAATTGACCGATAAATCGACATTTCACAATACGTCACTTAATTATTCATGACATTATACAGAAGTAGGTCCATCCCGAGTCATTCAAATGAAACATAATATCTTATTCATGATTTCTCAAAGATGTCCTTGAGGTGTTATTGACCTTCACGGGTGTTATCTACGTATCTAGGGCAGGTTTATATAGTTGATGTGGATCATCTATTGGTGTAGGTACATATATTGTGTGCAGTTACACTCCTTTGCATCAACCTTTGATAATATTTCTTGTAGCCCAAAACACGTGCACATAATGACTGTATTCTTGATCACATAGACTTGTCAAATGTTTGTAGTTCAATTACATATGACTCACATTGTCTGGAGAATCATTGGAGAATTAAATACGGTAACCACAGATTTCATGTCATCCAATGCATCGCTGTTCGTTTCAAGTCACCCATCTTGTTAACACGCCAGAGTACACAAGGGGACAATGTGGGTAAATGCAGATAAGCCCTCAATCAAGTGATTATGTAGATCATTTGTATTAAATCTAATGGGGGACAAATCCGTCAACATCGACGTGAACGTCTGAGATGGGCACGCCAAGTTGCAGGCTGGCAGAACAGGCAATGGGCTCGAGTACTCTTTACAGATGAGAGCAGGTTCCACCTTAACAGACCAGACGGCAGGATACGGGTACATCGACGCAGAGGTGAACGTACTGCACGTTGCTGCGTACAAGAAGTGGAGCCCTACGGCGGTGACAGCGTCATGGTTTGGGGAGGCATAATTGGAGACAGAAAGACAGACTTGGTGATCGTAGACGGTAACTTGAATGGTCAAAGGTACATCGACCAGGTTCTCCGACCAGTCGTCTTGCCATTCCTGCAGCAGAACCCCGAACTGTCTTCCAACACGACAATGCTCCATGCCATACAGCACAGCGCGTTAGGGGTTTCCTTAACGCTAACAACGTTCACGTCTTACCATGGCCAGCACGTTCCCCTGACCTCTCCCCCATTGAGCACCTTTGGGACCATCTTGGGAGGCAAATTCGCGCCAGACCACATCCGCCTGCCATCAGGAGAGCTCTTGCCAGAGCACTGCAAGACGAGTGGAACAGGATCCAACGTCCGGTGATCAGACGTCTGACGTCATCTGCCCGACGTCGAGTTCGAGCCTGTATCGATGCTGGAGGAGCACACACTCGATACCGACTCTAACTTGTGGTAAAATGTGCTCAAATGACTGTTTCAGTGGGACTGTGTAAACTTGTACGTGATCGAATACTGGACAATCGACCCCACCCTCTTTATTTGTTGAATATCTGTACCTTCTTTGGTTATGACTGTATGAATTTACGATATGTTGTAGTTGTTTGATTGTTCTGAAAATATAAATTGTCACCTTATGCTTATGACGTCTTGTTTTTTCTCACGTTGTGAAATTTACTTGGTATCGTTTCTTTTGCCCCTCAGTGTATGCATATAAATGGTTGTTTATTTTCTTACCTAAGCACATTTAACTAAGTTAAGTTTTCAACTACATCTTATCTGTGCAAGACAAAGTTGGAGATATATTTACAGTGATCCAACCGATATATGTTTCAACAACATTGATCAGTTTGAATATTTAGAGCAGAATGTTTATTAGATTAGAAATAGTTATGGTGGATCTTGTCTATCCTTGATCGCGGCTGCTTCTTCAAGCTGTTGCCAGTTGACGATATACAGTTATAAATGTTCTATTTTCAGAAACACTCCATATTGGAATGATACTTAAAACTTCATCCCAGTCATTATATACTAGCCACATAAAGAAACTGTGCATTGTCAAAATATTATCCCAGTTGATAAGTACGATAACAACGTCAAAGGTACATATAAACTTTAATGGGGGGGATCATGAGACCATAACCATTTAGGAGAATTTCAATTGAAAAGTCAATCACAATGACGTCACGAGTCCACAAGCGGGACAGGGGTTAAACGACCATGTCACAAGCTCAGTAACGGGTATGTCCACCATCGGCATTGAGAACAGCAGTGCATCGACGACGCATAGAGCCTATCAAACGTGCAAGGAAGGCTTGTGGGATGTCACGCTAGATTCTCTCAAGTTCTGTTGCAAGTTCAAGAACGTTATCTGGCGGATGAGGAAGACGGCGTAGACGTCGATCCATCTCGTCCCAAACATGCTCTTTCGGGGAGAGATCCGGTGAATTTGCAGGCCAAGGCAGTAAGTCAACGTTGTGGTGTTGCAAGAAATTCATAGCAACCCTTGCCGTATGAGGGCGGGCATTATCATGTTGGAATGTTAACCCAGGGCCATGACGTTGCAGAAAAGGAATTGCCACAGGAATTGCTACAATCTGATCCCTGTAGCCCACACCAGTTAAGTTACCCTGAACAATCACCAAAGGAGTTCTTTGGCGTACTGTTATTCCACCCCAAATCATCACGGAACCACCACCAAAGCGATTCCTCTCCAAGACACAGGCCTGTGCATAACGTTCTCCCACGCGTCTATAGGCACGTTGACGTCCATCACTATGGGAAATGTTAAACCTGGACTCATCTGTAAAAACAACATTTCTCCACCAAAACAAGGGTCTGCGGACATGATTTCGGCACCACATTCGGCCAGCTTGTCGACGACGTTGTGCTAGGATAGGCCGTATGACGGGACGTCGTGGTCTGATCCCGTGATGACGTAAACGTTGTCGAACTGTGTTGGGGTGGATACGGCGAAGTCCTGGGATGGTTCGGGCAGTCATCACTGCAGTCTGAAACCTGTGGCGAAGATGGGTCACCCTTATCCATCTGTCCTGTCTTGGCGTTGTACACGTGGACATCCAGAACGTGGCCGATCGATGACGTCATTTGTGTTCTGGTAGCGTCTCACCAGTGCAGAAATGGTGTTCCGGTGGCAGTGGAAATGTGCAGCCACTTGTCGTTTAGACATTCCCCCACGGACCATCCCAAAGGCCCCATGACGTTGTGCAGACGTGAGATTTGGCATGCTATGCGTAACATGTCTCTGTTATGTTTAAGAATCTTTAATGTAAATACTTTACGTCCATATCTTATTTTAGTCTTTTTGTGAGGAGAAAACAAAAATGAATGAAACAAAGGAAGCCATATCGGACATGATCACTTCAGATTATTCCGAAGTTTTTTCATTTCCTTTTCCTTTTCAATGCTTGTCTCAAGTATTTAAAAAACACCGATGATTGTTATCCTCTCTAATATTACGATTGTGAATAGATTCTAATATTTATTTTTTTACTTTTAATTTCTCCTTGTTCAGTCGACCTCGCTCTGAAAGAAATCTTTCGGAAGCACGTATTTCTCATTTCGATTTTCTAGATATACACAAAACCCTCTCGTTTGCTATAGTTAATATTTGCACTGGGTATATGTGTTGAAAGTTTATTTACTCTTTGTAAATGTACGAATTACCGAAGTAATAATTCAACACAAAATAGACACAGGAATCGAAGCCTTATCAAACATGTCTATTTCTGAACGTATCTAAGTTTATTTTTTGCACTGCATACATGTAGTTTTTCATATTCTAAAATATCGGTAGAAATACTAAATTAATTTTTATATATATACTTAATTTGAAGTTAGTAGATTTTGTGGTGGATAAGGTGTCTGCAATGAACAAAGACAATTTTTACCTGTCTCCATATCTAGTTTTTCAGATTTTCAAAATTAAAAATAATTGTTCCAAATTTTTGTGTATATTTATCTGATATTTTACCCTAATTTATCCTCAACTGAAATGTAATAAAAGTGGGAACTGTTTTTTCTGTGTGTGAAAAAGTACTTTCATTAGTACAAGGTATTTTTACTATTCTTATTTTCTTAATATTCAAAGGATGTTTTCTTATTACCAAATTACAAAATACAATAAATTTTGGCTGGAAATAAAACTGACTTGTATGTGTATTTCAGACCCAATGTAGAAGATTCAGAATTTGTTTGCTATGACATTGACAAGTGGTTGTCATCCAGTGGCCCAGCTCCTCAAACAACTCAGAAGAAGAAAGATGCAGGTCACAAGCTTGTCTTCGATACCAAGTGGAAACAAGGTCGCCCCTGGCTAAAATACATTGAGGATGCAAACGAGGAGGGTGTGAAACAAGCTCCATGATGTTTGTTCTCTTTGCACCAAGTGGAATATGAAAGGACGAAATGGATCCATGGTTTGGACACAAGTTGGATGTCACATTTTCATATATTGACATAATATTCAAATTTTGCAGATTACAGAACTGGCAGAGCACTTTGGCCTGAATGTTGATAAAACACAGCTTGAGTGGAGTCAGGTCAAGGAACTCTTTGCTGAGGAAGTTGACACCTGTTCACCATCCAATATCCTGAAGACTCTGACAAGCCTCAAGCCCCAACTGGGAGACCTCTACCCAAACTTTGTGAAGCTCCTGAGTATCCATGCTACTGTGATCCTTTCGACATCAGAGGTTGAGAGAGTATTCTCCAGGTTGAAACTCATCGTGACAGACCATAGGAACAGGCTGAAAGTAAATAACTGCACCAGGCTACTTATGGTCAGCATGAATGCTAAGTCTTCTACTGACATTGACTTGAGGAAGTGTGTGGCCAAGTTCTTGGCACGAAAGAAGAGGAGAATATGAATGAATAATTTTATGAACTTGCATCAAAGCATGCCAAACAGACTCAAATGATGTCAGCCACAGTAAATTACTGAACCCTTAATTGTTGTGCCTTTTTTGTTTGCTGAATGCCCTTTTGAATTTTAAAGTGCCCTTTTTCTCTGAGTCTACCCTGCCCTTTCACAATCCTGGGGGAAACACTAGCGTTTCAATAGCCGTTTAATTTTTTGAACGATCGCAAGGGCAGGGGTTGTGCTTTCCAAAGTGACAGTATTGTGTGGCATTCATTTGCTCTGTTTCTCTTTCCCGGAATGCACGTGCAAGACCGTATTGCACGTCTCAAGGACGAACCCACTGACGTCACGGAACGTGGCACGTGCATGCATGTTGGATACATGTCACTAATCTCTGAGTTTAAACCCTTATGTGTCAAAACAGGTTTGATATATTTAGATTTTACATTTTTGTATGCACAGTTTTCTTTATGTGCCTAGTATTGTTTCTCGACGAATCATCATTGTCAGAGAAACGGTTACAAATGGTGCCCTGAGCATTTCGAGGGGAGGAGGGGGGGTGTGTTATCATATGAGTGAAAATATTAATTTGTGGAAGTTAGAAAGGGTTGTATCTAATTAGGCATCATTACGGCGTTCACTGCAGGAGAAGAGAGATGTAAATCTTTCTGTTATCGAATGAAAGACAAAACAACAATGAGGTTTGTCCATAAGCATAACGTTTTACTTGATGACGATTAAGCCATGAATAACGAATGGATTGTTCCACAATTCGGTTGAATGTTAAAAAAACTAAAGTAAAGGATTATTTTACTTTTCCCAGAACCTGAAATGTCATTTTACAATCGATACATGGGATTGAAGTAAAAGAGATGTTTCAGATGAACTACAACACAAATTCTTGTCGCAATGTCATTAGATTCAGAGCGAGAATTAGAAATTACTATTTCCGATTTTCAAAAAGTGTGATATCTAGATTTATTTCCAACTGAATAATTTGGCAGAAGCTCTAACATTGTGGTCCCGTTATGGTTATGGTACTCATTCATTTAACTCGGATATTTCCGAAGATCTAGCTCCCGAACACAACATTGTGACTCCTCGGACAACGTTGTGTTATGGCAGAATTATGCCATTGTCCCTCCGACACATGATGTCATCAAAGGTGTAACAGTATTAGTGGAGCGCCGTTTGCATCATCATGGACAGTTATGTGCGATGGGCATGTTGCAGGTTGACTTACTTCAGAATACTGTTGCCCAAACGCTGCATACTTCTACATCTGTCATCAGTATTGTGTGGGACACATTACAAGGTCGATGATCGACACCGCCATGGACATGAACCCTAGCCTAGGATTTATTGGTTCAGAACTATGGCATTGAGTATTCACCTGCAAATGCCACTCAGGCAACTAGTGTAAAAGTACATGTTAAGACGGTGTAATATCTTCTGCAAAGATGCGCGTGCCCAACGTCTAAATGCACCCAAAACTTACTGTATGTAATTTGAATCAGAGGGGTCAGAGGTTTTGGCAAGGTCACACTGGGAAAATCGACGTTGCACTAACGTCATGTTTTCTGGCGAATCGAAGTTCATTCGCGACTTCCGTGAACAAAGAAATCAAGTTTGGATTCTAACGAACCGTTTATGGACATTACTGTCTTACAAAATGATCGTTTCCTGGTCGGCCCATAAATGTAAAGTGGTATCACAATGAGTAGCTGAACTGAGCTCGAAATCTCAAAATTGATATATGATATCTTTAACAATATATTCCACCATCATTTAACAGCACCAGCCAAAAGAATAAAAGCAACAAAACATTTTCCACCTCCACAAGATATCGATTTAAAGATTTAACCATATGAGCATGTGTTTATGAGTCACTATCATTTTTCTCTTTGGGAAATATGATATGTTTCCTGAAACACACTAAGTTAATGGAGGGAGTTAAAAGGGAGTTCCAAACAAATAAAAACTAGAGAAAACCAAACATTCAACCTAAATTAATTTTTTAATGTCCTGTAAAAATGTCTCTGTCGTTAATATTTGTCTTAACATTCTTTATTAGGCACAAGCCCAATTGTTGAAAGATGAAATGGTTTCGTAGATGAAAATATTTTCCATTTAATCACATGGTGTTTATGGTGGTGTTATAATGTAGAAGTTGGACAAAGCATCTTTTCTGATGTTGTCATTAAAGCTTGCTGTAAAGCCTCGCTATTTCATTCCCGGTGTATATTTCCATGCAGATCACACGGCTCAGGAACATCAAACCAATGAAATTGCATTTTATCACACCGTATATGTAACGAACATATACAGATTCATGCTAAGACCATTCTGTTCTTGATGATGATGCTTTAACGTTTTAAATGCACAGCTTACAACGGACTTACTAAAGCATCTAAAATAAGTCCAAGTTGTGCGAAGAAAAAAAGTTTTTGTTTTTCATATGCGACGCATATAAACACTTTTTAGAGTCATGAAACAAGTGGGCTTCTCAACATAACCTGGTGGCTGACTGACTTGTTAATGTTCTCGGGAATCTATGTGAAGATGTCTACTTGCTCTCGGGCATGTGTTAATGTACTTTCCGCAACCCACTGCTCGTAACACGTCCGCTGTTCAGCACATTGTATTTTACTTAATTATCACCAATTACTCGTGTTGTGTTGTATGAATATGTAAATGGAGCACATGTCGTTCCATCTTGAAGTTTTCAGTGGAACAAGCTTCAGTATTTATTGTAGGTTCGACAGCCGTAGACTTTATCTTTAAGCAACTACTTTTTTGTCTTGTTGCTCGGTGAAGGACAGGGACATGTTATGTAGCTTGGACATGCTATTCTAAAAAGATCATTTCAGAACACAACACACACTGAACGTATCAGAGAGTCATGTGCAGTGTTGTGTAGTATAATGCTATTTCTGTTTATAAGCATGAATGGTATTTCATCCGGTCTAAGGGGTCTGTAGAATTCAACACAGATGTGCTAAAACAGTTTGATAGAAATGCAAATTACACATGGCTTGCCCACAGTGATTCACATCTCGTGAATGTTGTGCTCGACTCAAAATCACGAAGCATTTGCTTCCACTTTCTGCTCTACTGCAAGGCTATTTTCCAGGATTAAAGAGGGGACCATAGTTACGTCGTGATATTCAGAACCAATTGTATATCGTCCGGAAATATTTTTGGATGTTGAGATTGAAGCAATCAGTTCATTTTATATTTGAACACACAATTTGAGATATCTTCATTGAGTTGAAACTTACACAAGAGTGTATGTACGTATATATCTTAAGAGCCTTTAAGCATTAGCTTCCTCAGTGGACGCTCAGCGAGCATAGTCTTTAAAGTGAGTAGTTGCTTTTGAGCTTATACTCTACATAATCCTATTCCTCTAAACTCTACAGCACGTCATGTCGATGGCATTGAAAAATATAGAATGTTTTGTTTTTATGTAGAACAGTAAACATTGAATAATATAAACTCAGGGCTTGTGATTCACATGCGTCGGGCTCTACCTATCGGGTACATTTTGCGTTGATTATCACCAAGAGATTAGAAACTTTAAAGATAAGCAAATTGACCAACATTAAAATCATATTCCAAAAATGTCATCATAATGTCATGCTATTATTATTTCCATCACTGGGACATGCTGTCAATCCATATGACAATATTTGCTCTTTTCACCGTCAACATGTACAGTTAAACATCATTCTGTCAAACATTTTATAACACGCCAAACATCAGTGAACCTGTCAAATAACAATAAGGAGTCTGAACATAGAAGACAATCAATAACAAACAAAACAAGAATCATTCAAACAACTGATTGACAACAGATTGATATAAACTAAAAGCGACAAAGAGAAAACTCTTTCAAGATTGAAAACAAATCTCTTCTAAAAGAGAAATCAATTGTCCTATTCTTCACTCCATATCATCCGCCATGTGCTCGTGTTGTGCGTTGTCTTTTCTCGGATCACTGCATATTGTGATAGCACATTAATATTAATTCGAGTCATTATGGATTCTCCAGGAAACATCAACTGCATTATGCATTTATTGACAACATTTACGGTATCTTTAATAGTTTGTGTTCTAGGGTGAATAATATTTACGTGAAAAGAAGGAATATCGCTGAAAGATATTTATCGTGAGAATGTCCATGAGAATTCCTGAAACGAAATTATAGCCAAAAAGAATGGCCTGACGCAAGTTAATATGGTAAAAGTGGATGTGGTCAGAAGTGGATGTAATGACGATATATAGAATGAATTATAACCTTCAAGGAAGAGACATGATGCAGTGCTACAAACTGAAAAAATGGGTGAAGGTTCTTACTACTGTTTCACATTTGCCAAGAACCTTACACACACGTACTCTTGTTAATTTCAACCACTTAAGAGAAAGTTAATTGATAATAACATGAGGCATTATATAATCAAATATAAGTATCCATAACTGAAAACGTTTATCAAATATTTTCATTACAGATGAAGTATGAAATATCATGACGAATTATTAAAAAAACCCATTTTCCTATACTATAATACGGCATGTGTCCTTTTCGCCAATCATTGACGAAACATAAGTTCGAAAGCGCTTTAACCCCAAACAAAAGCTTTATAACATATACTTGAATAAATATGTGTACCACATTTTCTGTAGAGCAATGTAGCACACTATTAGGGATACATTTTGTCTTCTCTTATGCAGTAATTTGGTATCACCGAGTTTATCTTGTGGTGTTTTCTCTTC